TGATTCTCTTCTGGCTTGTAAGGTTTCTGCTGAGGTCTGCTGTTAGTCTGATGGGGTTTTCTTTATAGGTGACTAGATGCATTTCTCTTGCTAATTTTAAAATTCTCTCTTTCACTACAACTTTAGTCATTCTGATTATAAGATGCCCTGGTGAAGTCCTTTTTGCAATTTATTTGCCTGGGGATCGTTGCACCTCCTATATCTGACAGTCTAACCCTCTTGCTAGTCTTAGGAAGTTTTCATTGATTATTTACTTAAATAGATTTTCTGAACTTTTTGATTTCTCTTCTCCCTTGGGAATATCAATAATTCGTAAGTTTGGTTGCTTTATGTAGTCCCAGACATCTCTAAGGCTTTGCTCATTCTTCCTCCCTCCCTTATTTTTATCTGACAGAATGACAAAATAAAATAAAAATTCAGATCACAGAGATATAGAAATAAATTGAGAGTCATTGTCCCTTTATCATTCTAGGTTCATTAGCAAAATTCAACTGAGTTGGAAAGGAGCACCTGTCAGTAAGGTCAATCAATATTAACTATATCTTTCACTGTGCAAAAACTCATGGAAGCTGTGTAGACTTGATCAAGGAAATCACAAGATCACCAAATCAAGGAGACAGACAGCAGTATGTCATTCACAACAACTCTACCTCTTACTAGTTGTCTGTTTTCAGTTGCATCAATTTAATCAGCAAAAGTAAGCTAACATTTCTACTTTGGCAAGGATGTTGTGAATATTAAATAAGATGATATTTGTAACATGCTGAGCACAATTGTAGCTTGATAAGTGGCAGCTATCATTATTTGGCTTTTGGGAAAGTAAAATATAATACCACTGAAATTGTAAATGAGACCATAGCATGGTGATCTGGGGTGTCCCTTCTTTGGAGCTATTCATAGACTCCTGCTTCTGTAGATCTGACAAATCCATCACTCATAATAGTTTTGAGACTTTTGGATTAGTTGATTAATAAGGCAGATTTTTCATATATCTTCTAATCACTGGACCACATGTAGTGTTAACACCAATAAAAGCAAATTCCTTACCTGCCTTTGTCAAGTAAACCTTTCCACTTCGGGAAACAAAAGTAATATCTGAAGAATAAAAACTATGAAAAGTCTTCTTTATGATATCATCATGAAAGTCAGCTAATAATTCAAAGGTGTTGCCGCCATCAATTGAAAGCCATACCTAAAGGAATAAAGAGATAATACTAACTCACTAAAGAGATACCATGTAATACTTAGCAATTACCTATCAGCCTAATCTTCCTACATAAGGAAAGTCATGTAGCATGGTCTTTTCTCATATGCCCACATTACACACACACACACACACACACACACACACACACACACACAGGTGTACAGAGATCTTACTTACTTGGTCTACCTAGACTCTGCATGACAGTGTTTATGGCAGAATATAAGGTCTACACAGTATGCACGGTGAATTTATAGAAGAACAACGTTATTCCTGTCATCTCCCAAACGGAATTCCCTTGTTCATAAAAGGATGGAATGCTGGGTGCATTTGGATATGAGGGAGGGGTTTATCCCATCTTAATATAAAACTTCATGTTCTAGACATTTGGCAAGTATATTTGCAAACATACTTTGCATGGAAGAGCCCCTTGTCATTTGCAAGGGGTGTGTCCTGGGACCTTTGTAAGTCCTCAGAACACTAATCTCAATATAGAATATAAATTTCTCTATTTCCTCATCTTTAGGTAAGTGTTGTTTGAGGATAAAACAGACCAATCATGTATTGGATTAATCCAGCTTGTTACCTCTTTTAACAGCCTAAGTGTCATTCAAATGAGGATTTCAGGTCTTTTTTAAAATTAATTTTAATAACAAGTTATATCTGAAAATAGGCTTTTGTTAAATTTAAGACTTTGTAAATGTGGCTGAAGTATCTTAGACCACAATCCAAATAATTCTCCTTTTATACCTCATCTGATATTGATATAACCCTGTTCTCCTATTCCTTACCAGAGGTAATCGCTTATCAATTTGAAAATTTTATGCATTTACAATCACATCTACATATATATGTATATACTGATAGAATACGTACAGTACTGATTTCATTTTATGGTGGGGAGGAGAGGAAGGGTATGTCTGGGTACAGTCCACATTTAGACTTGGGCACAGGTACCCTTGTCTTGGACTGCATGCTTAGTGGGCCTGAATATTAAAAACACACAGAGAAAATTTACTGAATAACATATGGGTGCTTCTGTGACTGAGGATGCAGTGCTTATTACCAGCATAGCACAATCCATAATCCCAAGCATACAGTATGTGGACTTCCATTTTCACTCTCTCTTTGTATCCTGCAACTGTTACTGGTGAGCAGGATGTGGATAGAGATGTGTAGGGGAGGGTGCTTTGAACAGTATGAGTGTTCAAAACGGTATCATACTGTACCTGTTCTATAAATTACATTTGCCATTCAACAATTTATCTCAGATCATTTTATGTTCGTTCATGTGGATCGCCACATTCTTTTATGCTGCTATGTAGTATCTAATTTATAAATATGCCATACTTGAGATTTTTAATTAATACTTTTCTGCTAATGAACACTAAAAAGTTGTACCCAAATCTTTAGTTATAAACAATATTGCAGTGAACATTCACTTACCTGACTATTGGTATTAATGTTACAGTGCTATTTTTAGAGAAAACATTGAAAAATTGAGTTGCTGGGTCAGATGCATTCCATATTTCTATATTTTTAGTAGAGACTGCCAAAATGTGCTTCAATTTCA